ATTTAAGAATAATTGTTTCTTGGAGATTGTTTTCTTTTGCCCATATAAGCTTTTTTTTTTTTTTTTTTTTGGCTACTTGAATGGCAGATTTGCAAGTACAATTTCATCTGCACAAACGAACAATAGCCTTCAGCTGCACAAAGGATTCCTCCCACCCTGAATTCAGACCGCAATGCCTCTTGCTCTGATAATAGCTTCTGAAAAGATTTTGTAATGCAGAGAATTAATACATGATTATTTCCGCCTGACTTCTCTCATTTATTAGAATTCTGTGGCCAGTTCCAAATTAAAAATAGTTCAGTTAACAGCTTTAAAAAAATACTTTTAAAAGCCCCCCCCCCCCAGTATTTTTAAGTTTGGTCATTCCTGTGGCCTGAAAGCTGTTAAAAATCTTGATCAGCTTTAAAGTGATAGTTACTGTATCTTAGTAAATATATCTTAGCAAACTTAGCATGAAATTTCCAAATAATTCTAAGATGGTTCATCTGGGAAACCAAAGACAGACTTGTCTTTAACCATTCATTAGTAGTCTCTAAAATTAATTTCTAAATTTTACAGAGAAAAAGATCTTTACAATTATAGTAACATAAAACTGCAGAGGAACACAGGATAAGGCTGGGTTTGCAAATCGAATTCTTTAGAAATGATGCAAATGAAAACATCAACAATATTAGAAGTTTAGTATCAATGAAATTGCTGCATGCCTGTGCCCAGAAGTTTCTGGGTACAAGTGTGTCTAAAATTGAAGTCAGTGATTTAGATAATGAATGGCTCTTTTGCTACCCGTCAACAAATATTTTTTACCATAAAGTTTTATATTTGTGTGGCTGCCTCACAATCAAGTTTGGGTATACAGTGTTCTTTTTTCTTCTCTCTTATTTTAGGCTTACCACGTGGACAGCATAAAAAAAAAGTTTTGAAGGTATTTTGCCATAAATGGCAAAGGAGATAAAGGAAGCCCCGTGCACCTTCACTTATAAGCACAGATCAAAATAGTTTAAATAGGTCAGGACAATGTCTGCAGATTCTAAGAGCAATTCCACTGATTGCCTCTGTGGTCACATATGCATTTCAAATCACAGCTTTTGCAATATTTTATATTCTAAGTTCAAGGAGCTGCAGGTGGAGATGGTTGAGTGGAAGAAATACGCAATGTGCTTCAGTGCACTCTCGATGCATCTAACCCGATACAAAGTTGACTTACTCTTTCTGATTATTATAAAAATCATACTTTTCCTGCTTCTGCAACTTAGTATTAAGTGCTTGTGTATGTGTCGCCTGCACCCTGGGGTACACAGGCAGCCCGTGCTCCCTGGGACGGCTGCTTCCTCCACCTTCCCCCTCACCCCTCCCCTGCTCCAAACTTTCGGGGGGGGGGGGGAGCTGCCACTGTACAGAAGGAGGCGGCCTGACTGTAAATGTCAAAGTCATAAATATTTAAACATTATTTTCTTTCAATTTCGAGTCAAGACTGACAAGATGCCTCTAATTAGTGGAGGGCTCTCGGCAGGGCTCAGCGCCAGGACAAGACTGCAGGAAAGCACCTGTAGTTACAGCCTCTCGGCCTGGGGGAGCAGGGACCCAGGTCACTCCTGGGCAGGACAGAGGGTCAGACTCACTTTTAAGCAAAGGCACCCATTGCTTTCTCTTAAATCTCCTGGTTAGCAGGGGGTCCCTTAAGATTTTTTTTAGCTCTACAATAAAGAAAGGCTATACAATAATCATAGTTATTTAAACTCAATCACTGTGCCGAGGATGGAGTTCATGCTCTTTAATTTAAAAAAAAAAAAGTATAAATTTTTATTTCTTCCGGGATTCCTCAGTCCTGACTTGCAGCCGAGAGTTTTTCCTCCCCGCTTGACCCTCTCAACAGCACTAGGGAGGACGTTGGAGTCATTGAGGGCGCCCCAAGGAAGAGCGACTTTTCGGGTTACAACCGAGGTGCCCAGGGGCCAGCGAGAGGCAGGATTCCCAGCTGGGCCCTAAGATCCTGCGGCCGCAGCGTGACAGTGGCCCAAACCGGCGCGTCCCTCTCTGTCTCCAACAGGCTTCCTTCCTCTCCTGGTCAGATCCCTCCTCCCCGACCGCCCCCGCTGTCCAGGCCCCTCCTTGACCCGGTGCTCGCCCTCCCCAGCCTCACCAGACCCCTCTCCTGGCTGCGGGAGGACCACTGCCACCCCTTCCCTGCGGGGCAGCTCCGGCCCATGCGGCGGGGAGCTCGACGGGGCCGTAGAAAGTGGGACTCAGTGGGCGTGGAGTCCCCTCCTCTTCCCCGGGAGCACCTGGGACCCAGCGGGGGCCGCGCAGCTGGCCAGAGACGGAGCGGGGGCCCAGGGAGGAGGGACCCGGGCAGTCACTCTCCTTGACATTTTTCTTTGACCTCTGAGTAAACTCCAAGCGCTGCGTGAGGGGAGGCCGGTCAGGCCCCTTTCCGATTCCCCGGCCGAGCGCAGCGTACGGGTCACGGTGACCGTCGGTTTCCGGCAAAAAGAACCGAGCCAGCCGGGCGGCGACGCTTAGGCTGCCCGGCCTCCCTCCCGGGGGAGCGCCCCGCCGGGGTCTCTCCTGCCGCCCCAGACCCGGGCCAGGGTAAAGTGCAGGCGCCGCTGCCGGCCTCCTTAGGGGGCCCCTGCGCGTTCACGGCCTCCCACCTGGAACTGAGCGACAACCGGGCTACGCTTGTGCCCCTCACCCAGCGAGACCCTGCGCCTGGGCCGGACCCTGCTCAGGTCCTCAGTCCTCCGCGCGCTGGCGACCGCCCGTCGGCTGCGCACTGAGGTGGTGGCCACCCACCGAGGCGCTGCGCGTCCCCTCGGAGCCAGGCTGGTCACCGCGCGCGCGTGTGCGCTTCACGTCGCGGGGCAGGAGGGTTCGGGAAGTCCCCGTACCCGGGCGCGGTCAGCCACGACGTGGGCGCGCGGGGTCCCCCCCCGACGCCTGGACTGGCTCCCCTGGGGGGGTGGGCGGGGCGGGGGCCGCCGGTCGCCTGCGCAGGGGCGAAGTGGGGGATGCAGTGACGGCTGGGGGCGCCGAGCGGGGGGCTGGCGGGACGCCCCCTCCGCCGGCCGCGCGCCCTCCTTTGTTGTCCCCGCTCGTCTGCGGAGGCTCGGAGCCGGCCTCTCCCGGGAGCGGAGGACCGCTAGTGGGGGGAGGGGCGCATCGGCGGGGTGGGAACCCGGGCGGCCGGAGCCTCGCCGGCCTCTCAGGGGAGCGTCCCGGGCCGGAGGGCTTGGAGAGGGGCGCGCTCCCCTTGAACCGGCCGCGGCACCGCGCGGGGGCCGAGGAGCCGGGCACGGGGGTGTCGGGCCCCCTCCCGCTCCGCCCGGGTCTCCGGCACCGCAGCCGGGTCCCTCCGGTTTATTTCTGCGGTTCGGCCTGTCGCCGCGCGGGGTGGGGACACGGTGCCGGGAGGGGGAAGCGGGGCCGGCGGGGCTGGCGGCCGGCAGCCCTCCGGGTGACTTCTTTCTGAGCCGGGGAGGGAGGGGCGAGGGGAGGGGTGAGAGAGGATGGGGAGGGGTCTTCCGCCCGCCGCTCCCTTCGGGCCGAGGGCCGCGCGCACCGGCCGCTCTGGCCTGGGGGCCCCGCGTCCACCGCCCCCCCCCCACCTCTCCGCGCCTCCCCCTAGCGGCCCCGCGCCTCCGTCCCTCCCGCCGCTGGCGGACCTGCTGTCCTCCTCGGAGCCTCGCATCCAGGCAAGAAAATCCGGCGTCTTTTCTCATTTCACCCGCGTTTCCATTAACCCAGTCCCGGCACCAGCTAATCCGCGGCACCGAAGGCAAAAGGAGGCTAATTAATGACCAGCTTTTCCAGTCAGGACCGGCGATAATTGCTTTGGTGGCCTTTATGATTACAAGATAAAAATGGCCCGGCCTGACATAAGAGGCCCTGTGTACACTCGGAGACAGGAGGAAATGAAGAGTTGGGAGGCTGAATACGGAGCAGAAAATTACTAATAGAAGAGAGATAATGAATAGGCCGGCCAGGCATTCATGGGGAAAAATCCATTTTGTTACCACGCGAAATTAGGTGGTGGAAAGGAGTTTGCTAATTGTTCTCATCTTGTAGCAACCAGGACCGGGGCGGGGGCGTGCATTTCTATTCATCCCCCGAGTAATTGCGGAAGGGTTGCTGGCCGAGTCTCCATCGTCCCCTGGCGTTTTAATCGCTGCTGATATTCCTTATAATGAAGCTAATGAGGGCGCGCACTGTGCAGCTTTGTGCGCACGGAGACCCGTGCAACGCGCCGAAAGGATGTTCTTACCCACCCCCACCCCGCCCCGCCCCTCCAAGCAGGAGAATCCGAAGGACCTGGGCTCCCTTACCTTTCACCCGCCGAGAAGTGAGCTCCTGGACCATAGTGCGCCCCTGTCTCGCAGCTCCTTTCAAGGAAAAGTGACGAGGTGCCAAGTGCGGGGTCTGTGCGGGGTGTAGACACGGCCCAGGTCCGAGGTCTGGACGAGGGGACGAGGGGACGTGCCTTGGAAGGCGAGCGGAGGGGCTTCCGGGATGGCAACTCCCTGCAATATATCCAAGAATATTAGCCTGACGCTTCTCAGAGCCAGGCTCAGTGGTTGGACTTCTGCTGGTGCCCTTACGCACAGCAGGAGCTAGGCACCGCCATCCGGTCCGTCCACCCCAGGCCCACCGTTTGTGAAGCATCCTCTCCCCGCATACCCCTTTAGAAGGGACGAAGGCTTTATTTTACTTAAGGCAGTGAATTAGCTGCCAAATACTTTATACCGATAAGTTTGAAAAACGGCGGCCGTTAAGAAAAAAAAAAAAGTGACGCCTCCAGTGACTTTCCTTGTGAAAACATTGCCGTCTGTGGTGCGCTGTGTTGAAATGACTGTAGCTTCTGGTCCGAGGGCTGCTTTTCTGGATGCCCTCCTGTTGTTTCAGTGCCAGCCCAGAGCTTTACGTTTTAGGCTGCGTTTGGAAGGGATGGTTTTCAGGACTCATGATTCACTGGGTAGTAACCTGCCCCCTCTCCTATTCTGCAGAAAAGCAAACCCAAGCTTCTGCCTCATCAGGCAGAACGAGAGGACTCGACCAAGTTCATCGTGCTCACTCTGGTCTCCATCGTGGCCATCGTGGCGGTCCTGCTGGCGTCTGGCGTCATCTACTGCCTACGACACAGCTCTCAGTACAGGCTGAAGGAGAAGCTCTCGGGACCTGGGGGCGACCCGGACCCCGACGCCACCAACGCCTACCAGGTAAAAAGAGACTTTTCTAAGTGCTGTTTCAATTCCGTTCACCACTGGAATGGACGGATTGTTTAAGTCTTTGGGTCTTTGGCCCCTCCCCGATTCCCAGCAGTTGTTCATTTATTCATAGTTTGCGTTCTTGTGTGATGACGATTTGAAACTTCTCATTAGCATTCATGTAAATACCTTGAAACCCTAGTTTTCCTGCTCTAAATTAATCTTATGCTGTTCTGGGGTGGTCTCATGTTAGCTGTGAAAGCGGGCTGCTAATTAGAAATGTGAAAAAAGTATAATACATGAATTATGTATTATCTGTTATCTTCCTTAGTTTGGCCACTATTAATAAAAAATGCCAGAGTTGCAAGATAAATTGGTTGTGTAGATGTATGAAGATGTCTCTTAAATCATCGACTTCCTCAGGATCTTATGTGAAAAGATCCTCTGACCTGATCTGTTGCCACCTTCGCTGTTATTTGGATAAAGTGGCATCTGAGGCTGATAGATGGAAAGTAAATCAAGGATGTCTTCAGGAGAGCAGTGGTGGAGCCATGCACTGGTGATGCAGAAACAGTCCAGACACACCTGGAAAAAAAATTGGAACCAATGAGACTGAGGGGAGGAGGTTCAGACGAAACTGGACATAAAAAAAAATTCACAGAATGTTTGGGAGTTCCGTAGCACACACCCCAGGTTTAATGATGTTCTGTAATGAAAACACATCTTCATGCAAGCCCAGAATATATACCAGTCAGGGCATTTGATTTCTTCTAACATAAAATATAATGCAACTCCAAGTATACTTTCCCATTTGGGAAGGTAATTTACTTAATCATCATTTTTTGAAGTTCAATAGATACATTTTGTAAAAGATTTTCTCCCATTGGAGTAGAGTCTTTGTTTTCTGAAGTCACATGATTGTGATATGGAATATGTCGTGTACATAATGCCTCCTGTTTTACAGTCACGGCCATAAATATTATCATTCTGTCATCACACTTGCACTGCTGGGGGGCTGCTCAAGCTCTGTCTAGAACACCGCCCCACCCACCCCCCACCCCACCC